ATCATGTGCCCTGGCTACTTGGACAAGGGAGATCTCCATTTGGCTGACTGGTTAGCATGCGTGACTTTCACCAGCTGGAGTCTGGGGATTGAATCCTGTTTGGACCATTTATTTTATATCCGCCACAGATCTCGCTGAAGAATTCATAACATTGATGGCTTCAGCTACGCTGTGCCACTCTGTGGATTTTCTCTTATTTGTTTTGCAAAAGCACTTCCTTTCATTTATCCACCTCACCCACAGGTACCTCAATTTCTGCTTCTGTGAAATTGCGCTTCCTTGATCTTCCTTGATCTTCCTTGATCTACGGTCGCCATGTCATTGGTGGAGCGCTGCAACAGCCGGCTTATGTATATGCATGAGGTCCACAAGGCACTTTGCATTGACTAGTTATGGCAGTAAGTGGGCGTGGTGAGGGCGGGATGTGACTAAAATGCAGCTGAGAGACATTCTTGTTAGTCTCCGATTTATAAAGCGGGGATTGCGTGCAGCTGTGCATACTCCATATTTGATAGATCACAAACCTACTTGGCGTAAGTACATATTTTTTTCTGAGCTTAAGTACGGTTTTAGTAAGGATTCTACGCAATGTTTGATAAATGAGACCCCTGGCTGCTCATCGGTTCTTTGTATCGGATTTTCTATCATCCCTTTCTTTTATGTCTATCGAGGAAAAATTATTTCAAAATATATATTGCTGTTGTTCTAAGTGATCAGATTTAATGGTCGATGGGTTTATGAAATAATTTCAGAGTGCATCACGACAGCCACGGACGGTGGATGTGTCCTGCCAGACAGATGCTCCTTATTTGGTTTCCCAAGGGACACAGTTTGCCAAAAGGAGACTCGGACCTCCTCTTCGAAACAAAGGTAGAACTTCATTTTGGGATTTATTTTAATAGCTTGTTCTATCCCAAAGCAGCCTTGTTGACACACATGGTTGCAATTTCAATAGCATCTGGAAACCACAATCACTTTTCTATTTGTGCCTCTAGCAAATGTCAGTGCCACAAATCAGATCACTTTTGTATTTTATTGTTTTAGGTTGCCATATGTATTTGTAAACATTAAAGGCAAAAGGTTGCCCAACTTTGTGAATAGGTGATTGTGTCGAAAGCCATATTAACTTGATTGTTTATCTTGACAGATGATCCGTGATTATTTTTGACACATTTAGTCTTGCTAACATTTTAATCAATTAGAACTAGCTACGAATGCTCCCATCCAATCACATGATTTGAAATTGGGCCAATTGTGTGATTTTCATACGATCAAAATCGGGTGGCAAAGATCAGATTTGACATTTTAAAACAACAAGTGTGGCCATTTAAATTCACCCTGAGGCAGAACAGTCAAACCTAACAGTGATTTAGTTTTAATTTTAACATGTTTCCCTACAACAATATTATTTGGACAGCAAAGGCAGTGCAACAGCCACACCGCAGCGTGTGTGAATTGGGTATGTTGCGTGTTGGAAAATAGATACCTGCATTCAACACTGAATCTGATTCGACAAATTAAAAAACACAATGTTGCCACATTGTATCACCTTTCTGCGTTTAGTCTGAGTCAGGATGGCTGTATTTATTTATTTATTCTTTGCTTTATTATTTTTAATTAAAAATGTTTGGGGGCAAATTTTCTTCAATGATAAAAATGCAATTAATCAAGATTAATTAATTTCAAAGCCTCTAATTAATTAGAATAATTTTTAATCGAGTCCCACCCCCTAGTTATTACACAAGCAGGTCTCAGGTGTTTAGCAGAAAAGAACAGGCCCAGCAGCCGTGTCTGCCGTGCCCTGTTGCAGGATTGTGCATTGCTCATTACAGCCAAATCATATTTAAACATTCAATCCATCCATCCATTGTCTATACTCCCTTGTCCATGCAGGGTTGCAGCGAGGTATATTTAAACAATTTGAAATCAAATATATGAGGCTAGTTTTTGATATCTTTTATATATATATGTAAAATTGGCACATTTCTTACCAATGTACTTCCCGAATGATTGATGTTTTTGCCAGATGAACTAAGGAAATGACTAATAGAGAAAGAAAGAAAAATATAAATGGAAAGAAAAACGACTTAAAATGCAACTTGGAGGTGTTCTTTTATTTTGCTTTATCTGATTGGGACTCAAACTCTGATTGGGGGCAAAAATGGGATCGAAACCTCCCTAGAATTCGTCTTTTAAAAAAAATAACGAGCTACTCAAAGAAGCTATGTTTTTTTAGGTATTCAGTCAGCTGCGACGGTCCGGAGTGTGGCTGTTGGCCCAAGTCGCCGTTTACTTCCTGTTCCTTTTCCTTCAACTCCTTTGAGAAGTTTCAAGGAAGCAAAAAGACCTCGTCTGGAGTTTGAAGAGCAGGATATTTCTACTAGATCCGCTAACCCTGACTCATCATACCACTCTGCACAACCCGTTACGGCCAGCACAGATTCCTCTTGGCTTAGGTGAGCTATAGTTTGTTCATGTGGTTTTTAAACTGGTAATTTAGCACAATGGCTATTGCTATTTTTACAATCACAAGCTTTGTGTCTGCGTCATTATCAAATAATATAAAACTAACATGACAATGGAAAACAATGTGTTTTATTCATTGCAGTCCCACAGCAGCAACATCATCATATGAAGATGCAAAATTCATTGTTTTTGAGAAATGCCTCCTCAGCCTATTCGAGACGTGCCCTGCGTGCACAAGAGACTGTAACGTCCAATCACGCAGAAGAGGGACGCTCTTGACTGTTGAGCAGCTCTGCCCACATTGTCGGTTCTTCCGACGGTGGAATAGCCAGCCAATCATCAGGAGCACCCCCGTGGGCGACCTTCAGCTGTCTGCTGCTGTACACTTCTGCGGTGAATCGTTTGAAAAGACGAGGAAGGTAATGTGAACACTATTATCAAAAACATACCTGCAAACCTGTCGCTTTTTGGTGAAAATTGCCATTTTTGAAGCCAAATATGGTGTTCACATGAATCGTATAGATCCAAAGAGTTTTTGTTTTGAGGGGAGGGAAGGAGGGAAGTCTTCGGTTGGGTTTCAGTCACTCTGTATGAGAATCAATCAGAGAAAGGGGGGGATTCATCTTGTTCACAAACCATCTTTGTTGTTTCGTGCTACGTGTCATCATTTGACCAATCACAGTTGCTGAGACATCAGGCCAATAACTTAAAACAATTAAATTCAGAAAGTCCAGTCCAATCCAATTTTATTTATAAAGCGCATTCACAAGGCATTACAACCCAACAAGGCGCTGTACACTCAAAATGTTGGTTAATTAAACAGGCGTTATATAAACATTTCGAACACAGATAAAAGATAAAAAGGAAATACAACAAAATTCCCAAAAATAACAGCTAAAAATCATTAAGACACAGGGTGAAGTAAAAATAGGAAAAAACATTTTACAAAGAACCTCAATAGTACGGAAGTCGATAATTGTGGGGTCAGTTTATAAACAGTGCAGATGTCAGTGAGGTTCATAATTATGTTGTATAAGCTAGGTTGAAGTAGTGAGTTTTCAGGCGTGATTTAAAAATGCTAGCTGTTGGTGCTAGCCTCACTAGCAGTGGTAATGCGTTCCACAGCTTCGGTGCACAGACAGAGAAAGCCCTCTCTCCACGGCTTTTTAAACGTGCATTGGGAACAGCTAGGAGGAGCTTATCTTCAGACCTGAGAGCACGCGGCGGGTTGTAGTAATGGACAAGTTCACACAGATATGGAGGAGCTTGATGGTTCAAGGATTTGTAAGTGAGAAGCATAATTTTGAAGTTTATCCTGAACTGCACGGGCAACCAGTGGAGAGATTTCAGAATTGGAGAAATGTGTTGTCTTCTGTCAGCTCCAGTCAGCAACCTAGCTGCTGAATTCTGGACCAGCTGAAGTCTAGAAAGAGCTGCTTTACTGATGCCGTATAAGCAGGAGTTGGAGTAATCCAGCCTTGAGGTGATAAAAGTGTGGACCACCGATTTCAGAAGACGTACACTCAGGATGTGCTTTAGTTTTGAGATGCGTCTTAGTTGGTAAAAACATGATTTAACTGTGTTATTGACCTGGGCATCCATCTTCAGAGCCTGGTCCATTTTTACTCCAAGGTTGGAGATTACAGAGGATACATTAGGTGAGAGATAGTTGAGGTCAGGTTGTTGAGTTGCCGTGGTACTGTTAGGACTGAAAACGATTAAGTCAGTTTTGGAGTCATTAAGATGGAGGAAGTTATCAGCTAGCCATTGCTTGACCTCAAGGATACAATCAGACAGAACTTTCGTTGATTGAGTTGGCTTAAATGAAAAGTAGATTTGACAGTCGTCAGCGTAAAGATGGTAAGAGACAGCGTGCTTTCTGAAAATGGCTCCTAAGGGCAGTATATAGAGGTTGAACAGTAACGGGCCGAGAATTGAACCTTGTGGGACACCCCAACGTAGAGGCTGTGACTCTGATGAACAGCCATCCAACATGACCCTAGCAGACCTGTTACAAAAGTATGACCTAAATCAATCCAGGGCAGTGCCTGAAATGCCAGCCCAAGTGTGAAGTCTTGTGATCAAAATGTCATGATCGATCGTGTCGAATGCTGCAGATAGATCCAAAAGTACCAGAACCACATGGAAACCTGAATCTAAAGCCAGAAAAATGTCATTAAACACCCGAACGTGAGCAGTTTCAGTGCTGTGCTGTTGTCTAAAACCAGACTGACAGGTGTCCATTACCTGATATTCATTTAGATGTTTCGTCATCTGTGCATAGACTATTTTCTCAAGGACCTTAGATAAAAACAGTAATTTGGAAATTGGTCGTAGATTAGAGTAATCGGTGGGATCGAGGCCGGGTTTTTTCAAGATTGGTTGTAGAACAGCGTGTTTGAAGGCACGAGGAACTTCAGCCAATGTCAAGCTACAATTTATAATGCGTAGCACGTTATTGCTAATTAAAGGAAACACCTCTTTCAGGAGTCGAGGTGGGATAACATCATCTGGGGAGCCAGAGGGTTTCATGGCTGCAACAGTTTTTTCTGAAAACAATGAAATCTCACGTGGAGCCCTCATGGCCTGTTTCCACAAACTGAGTAAGAACAACTGTGAATGGAGGATCCCTCTGTGGAGTGTGTCATGCCCACAGAAAGTCTAAATGCCTCCTGCATGAAAATATATGTTTATGTTTATGTATTTAGCAGACGCTTTTGTCCAAAGCGACTTACAAGTGATAATCGGCGAGTTGCCCTTGAGGCTAACAACAACAACAACCAATTTCCAGTCAGTCGTAGGCGGCAGTGAGGCAGCATGATGAATCATGGAGAGGAGGGAACAAGGAGTGCAGTAGAGAGGGGATGGGTGCAGGGAGGGTGCTAGTTTAGAAGATGCTCTCTGAAGAGTGGGGTCTTCAGGAGTTTCTAGAAAGTCGAAAAGGAAGCCCCTGTTCTGGTAGTGCTTGGTAGGTCATTCCACGTTTGTGGAATGATGCATGAGAAGAGTCTGGATTGTCCTGAGCGTGGTGTAGGCACTGCTAGCCGACGATCCTGTGATGACCGGAGCGGCCGGGCTGAGGCTAAGCCTTTGCAAGAGGATTCAGGTAGATGGGAGCCGTACCATCTCGGACTTTGTATGCTAGTATTAGCAATTTGAATTTGATGCGTGCTGCTAGCGGTAGCCAGTGGAGCTCAATGAACAGAGGGGTGACGTGTGCTCTTGTTGGCTGACTGAAGACCAGATGCGCCGCTGCGTTCTGGACCTTTTGAAGAAGTCTGACAGTACAGGCTGGAAGACCAGTTAGAAGGGCCCTTCGTCAATTTTTGTAGTGACAAATTTAACTTGGATCGTTTTTATAAATTGTCCAACCTTAAATACTAATAAAATGTTTGAGTTTTTAAGCATCTTTAAATGCCTATTTATTTTCTTTGGTTTTCAGGTGTTTGATGCAATGCGTCTGAAAACTCACACCGATGATGTATTCAGAAGACATGTCAGCTCCTACCTTGAGCCTGCCATAATACACAGTTGGAATGCAAAGCAATGCACGGCTCTTCAGTCACTGACCGAAGAAGACCAGGTCATCATAGGAGGGGATATGTGTGCAGACTCGCCAGGTGAACATTTACTTCAGAGTTTTTTGGTGTGGCCTCCCATTACTTTGTTGCAGTGTTGTGGCATTGGGGTGAATGTTTTTATTTTTTCTCAACGTGTATTGTAACAAAAATAACATCACACTAAACCTAATGTGTTACAGGACATTCAGCAAAGTATGGGTGCTACAGTGTGATGAACATGCAGCGCAATCAGATTATAGACATACAGTTGGTGCAGGTAACAATGACTCATTTGATGCTGTGCTAACTTACTCGTGAGTTTTCTCACCACAGATGCTCGGAAAGTTGATCATGATTCACAACATTTAGGAAATGTAAAAATAAATACCGTCATGCCAAAATGATTTCTTCTGTTGAAAAAAAAACGGTTATTGTTACAACATCGAACCCTGCGCAAATAATTTCATTAACCTTTTTGACACCTACTTATGAAGCTGTGTATGTTCCTTCTAAGGAATCTTTGCGTTAAATTGACCTGCTGGAATGTTTGTTTGTCTGTTTTCCTATTTCCACGAAGAGCAACAAGGTTGGAGGAAGCAACCACATGGAGAAGGAGGGTCTAAGAAGAAGCTTGGAACTCCTAGAGGGCAGTGGTGTGAAAGTGGAAAGTATAATAACGGAGCGCCGTCCTCGGGTGCAGAAGTTCTTGAGTGAGCGCGAGATGAAGCACTATTACGATGTACGGCAAATGGCTAAAGGTGGAGCAGTATTTTATACGAGTAAACCATCTGGTTAACTAAGGATGTGCTAATGGACAATAACTCCTGTTTGTTAATGTCTTATAAATTCACTAGGTTTGTCCAAAAAGCTACACCGACTTGGCAAAGACAGCGACTGTGGGCAAGTAAAAAAGTGGCATAAAAGCATCATCAACCACCTCTACTGGTGCGCTGTTGGTTGTGCATCTGGGGCCGAGAAGGTTTCGAGGTGGAAGTCCATCTTGAATCATATACAAGACATACACATTCACTCAGATCCAGCTTTTCCAAAGTGCTTGCATCGGACGAGGGTGTCGAAGGACCCCAACAAGTGGTTTAAACCAGGTTAGTATTTAAACAACACAATGTAACTCCCAAGTCAATCACACTTCTGTGAAATCAAACTGGCCCCTTAGGAAGCAACACTGATTGACAATCAGTTTCACCTGCTGTTGTGAAAATGGGATAGACAACAGGTGGGAATTATAGGCAATTAGCCAGACATCCCCATTAAAGGAGTAGTTCTGCAGGTGGTGACCACAGACCACTTCTCAGTTTTGATGCTTTCTGGTTGATGTTTTGTTACATCAGGAGATGTGGATGAGGCTGTAGGAGGGCAACAACCATGAGGCCTGAGGATCTTGCGAATTACAGGCCTATCTCCATACTACCTTTTCTTTCTAAAATTCTTGAAAAGATAGTCTATAGCCAAATATTGGCCTTCTTGGAAAATCAAAATGTATTAGAGGTTTTCCAGTCTGGTTTTAAACCCTTTCATAGCATTGAATCAGCCCTTTTAAAAGTTTTTAATGACATATTCTTAGCTACTGATGCTGGGGACTGTGTTGTTCTTGTGCTTTTGAATTTGACAGCTGCTTTTGATACTGTGGATCATGCCATTTTATTATCTCGTTTGGAGCACTGGGTGGGCATTAGAGGCACAGCTCTCAAGTGGTTCAGGTCCTACTTGGCAGGGCGGACATTTTGTGTCAGTCTCGGTGACTATGTGTCGTCCTCTGCTCCTCTCTTGTGTGGTGTCCCGCAGAGCTCGGTTCTTGGCCTCTCCTCTGTATCTTCTTCCTCTCGGGTCTATACTGAGTAAGCATGGCATTGCTTTCCACTTGTATGCTGATGACTGTCAGATCTATGTCCCTCTTCAGAAAAAAGGCGGCTACCGCATACAGCCATTACTTCAGTGTCTTGATGACATAAAGGCTTGGATGTCTAAAACTTTTTAAAATTCAATGATAAAAAGACTTGAAGTGATGATCTTTGGTAGTCTTACTGAGACCCCCAATGTGTATGTTGATTCCCTGGCCCAGTTTGTTAAGCCAACTGTCACAAACCTGGGGGTCAAAGTGGACTATGATCTGACGTTTGAATATCAGATTAGGGCGGTGGTAAAATCTAGCTTCTTTCACCTCAGGCAGCTGGCGAAAATAAAGCCAATTCTTTCACAGCAGCACTTTAAGACAGTGATCCACGCCTTTGTTACCACTCGGCTGGATTACTGTAACACACTCTATATTGGGGTCAGTGCATCTTATATTAGTCATCTACAGAGGGTGCAAAATGCCACAGCCCATCTTTTAACTGGCACTCCAAAGTTTGAGCACATTTCCCCTGTTTTAGCGTCACTTCACTGGCTGTCCATTTCTTTTAGGATTCATTTTAAAATTCTTTTGTTTGCTTTTAAATATCTCCATGGCCTTGCACCTTCTTATCTCTCTGTCCTGTTACAGCCTTACACACCCTCCCGCTCTCTCAGGTCAGCTGATCAACTGCTCCTGAATGTACCCAGGACTAGGCGTAAACATATGGGCCATTCCCATCTGTACCGGGTCGGCCCGGGCCGGGTAGCCCCAGTCGGCCCCAGCCTGGCCTGGTTGATTCCACACATTCTTGTCTTAAGCCCATGTGGGCTGATTCTACCCACCAATCAGAGGCTTGCTCTAATGGAAGGTGTGAATTTGCTGTCAGCAGTGGGTGTGTTGGCCCTGGTCGGCCTGAAGCAGACCCCCTCGAGAAGAGGGCTGAGAATGAGCCTTGGTTGGCCCGGAAAAATACCAGGCCACCCAGATATGTAAACAACCCACGCTACCCGGCCCGGGCCGACCCGGTACAGATGGGAATGGCCCATTAGAGGAATTCGCGCCTTTGCTGTAGCAACGCCTAAACTGTGGAATGAGCTTCCATTGGAGATAAGACAGGCCAGTTCCTTACCTGTTTTTAAGTCACTCTTGAAAACACACCTCTTTACCCTTGCTTTTGACACCATGTGAGATGTTGGTTACTTTTTTTTTGACTTATTTTAGCTGTTTTTGTGTGTTTCATTGCTGTTTTTATCTAGTTGTTATTCTTATTATTGGGCTGTTTTAATTTTATGTCTCCTGTGTTTATTTATTACTCTTTGCTGCTTTCTGTTTATTCTATTGTTTTAATGTATTTTCTGTACAGCACTTTGTTCCTGTGCTGGATGTTTTAAAGTGCTTTATAAATAAATGAACTGAACTGAACAACCAAGCAGCAGGACCGCTACCTCTGCCTTTGTGCAAGGAGGAACAGGAGGAGCACTGCAAGAGCCCTGTAAAATGACCTCAGATGGGCCACAAATGTGCATGTGTCTGCCCAAACAGTCCGAAACAGACTCCATGAGAGTGGTATGACTGAGGAGTCGACATCCACAGGTGGGGGGGTGGGGGTGGGGGGGTGCTTACAGCCCAACACCGTGCAGGACATCTGGCATTTGCCAGACAACACCAAGACTGGCAAATTTGCCACTGGTGCCCTATGCTCTTCACAGATGAAAGCAGGTTCACATTGAGCACATGTGACAGACGTGACAGAATCTGGAGACGCCGTGGAGAACGTTTTTCTGTCTGCAACATCCTCCAGCATGACTGGTTTGACAGTGGGTCAGTAATGGTGTGCACTGGCATTTATTGGAGGTCTGCACAGCCCTCCATGTGCTTGCCAGATGGATGCTGTTTTTCTCTGTCTCTCTCAGCTGAGAGGAACACACACACACACACGTCTAGGGAGGTCATATAGGGATGTGGAGGCCACACACTACTGAGCCACGTTTTGACCTGTTTTAAGGACATTACATCAAAGTTGGATCAGCTCGCATGGCTGTGCCATCCTGGTTTTCCACATTAACTTTGAGTGTGACTCCAAATCCAGACCTCCATGGGTTGATAAATTTGATTTCAATTAACAATTTTTGTCATTTTGCTGTCAGCTCAATAAATGTAAAGAATAAAGTATAAAATAAGAATATTTCATTCATTCAGATCTAGGATTGTTTTATTTGTGTTCCCTTTATTTTTTTAAGCAGTGTAAATGGAAAATCACTGCTATGACTACTCTTCAACATATGTATTGATATGAAAATAAACAACAAAATGTGTTTCTCTTAGGTACTGCTGCACTCAAACGATTAGAAAGGGTGTTGACAACCAAGCGGTTCCTTAGAGATGTGGAAAATCTAAGCCCCCACTACCAGACCTCTTCCTTGGAGTCCTTCCACAATGAACTTCTGCGTTCTGCTCCAAAAGATGCTGTTCTCCCCTTCACTGGAAGGCTATGCAGGTATGTGTACTCCCTCACATTGGGCCTCCTCTGAGGTAAGTATCTAAGCTTTATAGGCTGCACCAATCAAAATAGCCTGCAGATACGCTGCTTGGCCCCAAAAAAAAGTTGCCACCTGGGTCTAACTAAACAAATAGGTAGAAGCCTCATATTGGATCATTACTGCACTTCCATTAATGGAATAACCTGGTCATTCAGTATATTCAGGTATTCAGCTGACCTCATTCTTGGAGCACATCCTGTTGCTGAACCTAGACCTGACCAACTGCAGCAACCCCAGATCATAACACTGCCCCCACAGGCTTGTAGAGTAGTCACTAGGCATGAGTGCATCTGTCTCTCTTCTTACCCTGATGCACCCACCACTCTGGAGCAGGGTCCATCTGGACTCATCAGACCAGTTTTTAATAATGCATTGGACAGTTCTGCTAAAGATGTTTCCTCTGCTTGATGCATGCCATGGATGTGACCCTTCTCAGACTAACATCTGTTCCACGACCACCAGATGTGTGTTTTCACATAGTTGTTTAAGAAATGAGAAACAACTCACTGCACCTGTTGGGGTTAAATAACTTGTTACCAGCTGAAAGATAATCGCCCACGCAGTAATTATCCAATAGGAGGCTCCTACCTATTTGTGTAGTTAAATCCAGGTAGCAACTCTTTTTTAAAAAAGTTTCACCTGATCTAAATCTCCAGAGCACATCTTTGTATAACCTGTCTATGATCTTCATCATCTACAAGTGAGGACAAGGCAGGCACATGCCTTTACTTCGAGAGGAGAGCGAGTGACTTTCTGATAATATGTGACTTCACAAAATAACTTAGTTACATGCATAAAGTCAAACTAAAAAGGTGCATAATGTGTTAAGTTTTTCAAACTTTTAAAAGTATTTTCTTTCCAACCCGCACTTCCCCCTTTTCATGGACACAGGTTGTACCTTGCTGCAATGCACTACAACGAGAATGCAGATCGCCCACGAAAGAGGCCCTCAAACAGGTATCCCCTCTTGTTCCCTGAGGCCAAGAATGGAGGGCACCCAGGAAAACAAGTGAAGAAGGAGCCAACCAACTGTAAGTTTAAATATTTAGGTATATTGAAGTATTACAGAAAGATTCTAAATTTGCTGATTAAGAGTGCTAGTAGGTAATTTTATTTCTCCTAACAGTCTACGTCTTCAACTTGATCCATTTGGTCTTCACTGAGGTTGTCCATGACCCACAGCCTTTCGTGTGTGCAGTGACGCTGATTGATGTACCTCAGGACAAACCTGCCTTGGATGATGCTGTAGCTGCATGTGCCACACTTCAGTGAAGGGAAGGTCTGAAGTCGGTGCAGTGCTCTGTGGCATCAGGAAAATCCCTCCCTATTCCAAGCACCTCATAGGAGGGAATCACTATAAGGACACTTCTGCCAAGGAAACCCCAGCTATCCCCAAACTATCTGTATCTGCTTTGCTTACAGAAATAGTCAGGTGGAAAATGTTTTTGTTATAAATTTTTTTAAGCTGGATCAATTTGTTTTGTAGTACAAGAGTGGAATGTGTTTCAGTTCCTCTTGGTTGTGAGATGTGTACATAATAAAAATAAAAACCTTTGTTATAAACATCCATTATTTCAGATATGTACCTCTCAAAGGCCTTTCCATTCCTGTAGTTGCCAAGGGGCTAAGATCTGCTCTGTAGAACTTTCATTGCACTTAGCATGGAAGAAATTTTCAGAAACACTGGTTCAAAGCCTAGATGTTCAGTCATGCACGCTGTCCCCTGAGGAACCTAGCTCGTTCTTAGTACCTGCATGCAGAAGCAGGTAGCAATCTGTTACATTTGATTTCTTAACCTAAAAAAAAATCCCATGTAGTTTCACTGCACTGCACGTTTTACTTTTAAGTGCCTTTGTGAGGAATTAACAGTTACCTCATTGTTAAAGGAGACATAACATGAAAACCCTACTTTTTATCCATTAACACAGTGTGTTTCACATTTTAAGTGTCTAAGTCAGCAAAATGGCTTATAATAGTCACTAGAGTAGCTATTTAGATATGTAATAATTAAGTTTTGGGCATATTTGTCCACTCGTTCAGTTTTTCAAAATACCTAATACATCTTAAATTTATGTCGTCACGATAATTACCAAATTTGGTCATGGGGCTACTGAAAGTAAAGCCGCCGTTTTTTCCCCCCTCACTGGGACTGTTGTTGTCCAGAGTGAATAATGCCGAAACCACGGTTAGATGGCTGCAAATGCTCTATCAGTGGATGTACTGATCCACATGAATGCTTACACCGTCCTCCTGCGTCAGAAGAAGTTAGAATTGCCTGGTTAAATTTTATTTTTCATGGTAATGTCCCATCTTCTGTGCGTAAAGTACTTTTTGTTTGCGCAAAGCACTTTAAAGACGAGTGCTTCACCAACCTACGGCAGTACAGAGAAGGACTAGCCGAAAGGCTTCGACTCATTGAGGGCTCAGTTCCCACTGAGTATGGGGGTGATGGACACACCAGCAAAGTGGTAAGCTTCATCTAACTGATAACTGACTGCAAAGTTTATTTACAACTTTCCTTTTCTGAACTCTAGCCATTTTAATAGCCTTAGGGCATGCCGACTGCTTATGTTAGCAGTATGTTAGCACCGTGTGGTAGTTAAACTAGCTAAATGCTATTTTAGCATTTTGAGCTGATGTTTCTGCACCAATGTTATGAACTCTAAATTAGAAGTCGATCAACGTTTTGCATTGTGCGTCCTGTATTAAACAGGGGGGTAAGTGACTGCTATTTACATCTCATGGACAGCTAAATACGTTCTATATTTTGCTCGCCCACCTTGAGATTATCACATTGTTTAGCAGCGCTGCGATCAGGCTGCGACCCCCCTTAATTCCATAACCACTAACCGAACGCATGCGTTGACCCGGATTCACTGGTATTTTGGTGTAAGTGCGCGTCTATTATTTTTATTCTCACGTTTTTATCCCAAAACAATGACAAGGATTGTCAAGGAAGCTTATTTCCGTGTGTATATATACAATCAAACTGAGCCTAAAACTAAGTTTAAACCATTTCATATTCCTTCTGAATTGCACACTAAAAAGGGCAATACATGGCCTATTTAAAAAAACACTAAAACCTCCGCTATTCCGTGTTTTTGGACAAAGATGTCCGACGTGTTATGTCAAAGATGCAACTTTTAGCATTTTTTTCGTGTCCGACGTGTAACTACATCACGTGTGATCAGTAAGGTCAAATCCGAGAACTAGGTCATTCAGTGAGAAGATATCACAGGTGAGCTTTGCTCTGCAATGAAGTCATACAATTTCAGATGTAGCTGAATGTTATGAGTGGAAAAAGTGGCAGAGTGTACACGTGACTTCGTAAGATGCATAGCAAAAATACCAATTTACTATAATTAATAAAAATTGTGTCATTAGACAGTCATCCTATATACTGTTACTGCACATGTTACAGTGCAATTAAAAATGCACTATTTCATTTCCAGCATTCAACACCAAGGACACAGAAGCCATCTTTTATTAGTGCAGGCTGTCAGACGAAACCACAGATTTGTGCAGTTGGAACACAACTCTCATGGAGAACTCTAAGGCCACATACCAGAAGTATAGGTACGTGAAATGTTTACATGCATTTGTAGCCGTGGTTCGTCAGAATTGTTCTCTTCATTGTCTTGTTGCTCAGGGTCAGACTGGCTCACACACAGGGGCGCAGATAGGATTTTCAAACTGGGGGGGCAAAGTTCCAATGTACCCCCCCCCCCCCACACACACACACACACAAACTATTGCAAGCGCCTTAACTAGAGCTCAGTCAGTTTGTGTAATTTCATCCAATGGTTTACGTAAAAACTAACATATATATGTGTTTGAAGCATCGACATACATATATGGACAATGGGTTTCCATAGACTCCAATAATAAGTTTTTGTGCTAAAATGGGAGGTGGCCACCACCGCCATTTTGACCGTGTCACAGGTTCCGTCAAGCCCAGACAATTCCACAAAAGGGAAGAGAGGTGGAGCTGAGGGTGGGACTGTAAGGCTGGGATCAACTGACGACACCCGGTCGAACTAGCTACAAGCTAACCTGAAGCTAACCCAAAGCTAATGCGGAGGTGGGAGCTAAGCTAACGGAGGTAGCAACCTAGCTAAAACCGGAGTTAACTGTTCACAACACCAGAGCTTCTGAGTCAGATACGCCGGGCTGACCGCTGGGTAAAACCGGGTGGAACACAGAGGTCTCCGAGAGCTCCACGAGCCGGCAGCCGCACAGCAGACAAGCGCCGCTGCGATCTGAGATGCGCAGAGCTGCCGCTGGGGAGAACCGGGTGGAAAGGTTTCCATTAGGGCTGCACGATATTAGGAAAACCTGCTATATTCGATAACAGTGCTTAATATTGCGATATTGATATTACGATAAATGAACAAATTAGGGCTGCAACTAACGATTATTTTCATAATCGATTAATCTGTCAATTATTTTTTTGATTAATCGATTAATCTGTTTGTTATTGTTTAGCTATTTAACCTATACAAGTGATGGATGCATTTCAGTTAAGAAAAAAAGCATAAGAGAATTGTGCAGTTGACTGCAATCTATTTTATTGCACATGAACACAGTCAGCAGTATAAAATGAGCTAAACAGTGCAAAATATCAGTCCAGAATAATTTTTTAGCATTAGCTGGAAGCCTGCTCCTTCCACCATGGATAATGGCCTCATGTCTTTTACCAGCATGTATAGAATAGAGTTTGTAAGTGGTATGAATTGCTGGGGGGTGAGTGTCTTGTTCCCCATGTAGTTGTCCATTGTTGCTTGTTTTTTTCTGCATAAGAAACACAAATAGACTGAAATAAGTACACATATAAAATAAAGCAGCACACACACTACAACACTAAATCAATATTATATTATTTGAATTAATTAACAATATACAGTGATCATTTATTTTGAGGGTTACGTTCTACAAAATAGCCCGCAACAGGAGATATTCAGAAAAGTCTAATTTTTTTACTATTAAAAAGCTCTGAGTAAGAAGCTCATGAGGTTTTTACTTTGAGTCGGGAGTGTTTAAATTAGCTAGAGAAATGTGAAAAATGTTTATTTTGTGTAATACTGTTTAAGAAACATGATAAAAATGTGTTGTGAGGCGTTTTAGAGCGTTAGATAGTAAAACAGCCTTTTAATAGTAAAAAAAAATGACTTTTTCTGAATTTCTCCTGTATTTAAAAATTGAAAGCGTACAACTATGCCGCGTTATATTCACCTGGACACAGCTCGTCTGTATATTTTTCTCCGCGGAGTTGTCCTTTTTTGAATGAGGAACATAGTTATGGGTTTGTGCCGTTTTTCTCTTAACGAGAACATTCTTATAAACAGACGTGCTAAATTTGGCAAGCGCATGATACACAACACGGAGATTCACGATTGCATCTAGTCAATCAGAAGTAGAACAACGCAGACTGACACGGCAAAAAAACATGTTTAACATCCACTATAACGAACTCAGCTAAAACATTAAGTCCAGCTTGTTTATTTTCTGTTACTTACCGGGCTGGCTCTTCCAAATGACGGCTCACTTGATCGCGGTGCGCTTCCTCTGCTGTATCAGCCCCCACATGCTTTCGTCTCAAACTTTCTCTTAGGGACGTCGTGCTTCCGTGCCATGCTAGATGGTTTTTGCATATTTTGCAGGTCACCCGTCTTTTCAAGGCATCTAGAGTGAAGTGCTCCCATACTCGTGAGGTTTTTGTCCGGGGTTTCTCTTCAGTTTTGTCGCTTCTATTTTTCTTCTGTATTTCTTCTTGTTCCGCCATCTCTCACAGCAAGATGAGCGTCAGTAACGTGATACGTCATGAAAACCGAGGGCACTCATTGGCTCATTTCTTCTTCTACGGCTCCACTGGTAGATCAGTGGCTCATTACTGCCACACACTGGCGGCAAATTTAACAGCTTGTACCCGATGTCAGATTGTGGTAAAAATAGACTTTATGCGGTAAAATATGATTATTAAACAACTAATCGATGACTAAAAAAGTTGTTAACTATTTTAATAATCGATTATAATCGATTAAATCGATTAGTTGTTTCAGCTCTAGAACAAATACTAAAGTATGCAGTGTTGATGTCATCTGGCGTGTGATGACTGCTCTGGGTTCAAAGCAAACAAAAACTAATGCATGAATTCCATTACAACATAACATTTTTATTGCAAAAATATGCAGCTGCACCTGCTACTGTATTAGCAGCAAAACAACAAACTGCATGCATGCAGTTTCTCAGTGACTTTAAAACATCACCTCCACCATAAAACTTTTTCTGATGCTCCAAATACAGAAAAACATCCCTTACCAGGGTTTTTAGAATAAATAAATAAAAATATGAAAATAAGTTTAAATGTTAAATAATAGTTAACATCACTCAAATGCAACAGCAAAGTCTCTCATTGCTACTGAGCATCTTCTCCACTTATGTGGTTATGATAGAAGGCTGTTGCTGTAATTGGGAAGTGATCTGTGCTGGACCAAACTGGGAGAATATTAAGATTTTCTGAGGGAAAGAGAAAAACAATTGTCTACCTTTCAGAAGAGGAACTGGCAAAAAAACTACATGGAAAATATGTGAAAACGTTTGTTTTTAACCCCAAATTGAACAAGTTTACCTAGATCCTAAAAAGCAGCTCAGATGATGAAACTGCAACTATGATTCTGATAACAAGCTAAAAAATTGAACTAGCTCCTCTTAAGATAACTGGCTAGCAGAGCTTCTGACTGACAGTTTATGTGCAGCAGCAAATCAACTATCCTGATTAACAAGGTTATAAAAGCTCATAAATGAAAAATCACTTTGATGTGTGGGGGAACTTTTCCAGGCCCTCTTTAGCAGGGTGGGACTGGGAGGAGAGTGCTGTAGCCTTTTAGCTGGAAGCTAACCGGAGCATGAGGCTAACGTCACCACCCGGTGGAACACTAGCGACATGGAGGTAGATGGGTTGGTTCACCGGCACGTGTCGGAGTCAGCCCGGTTATTATCAGCTGCTTAACGACACCGAGCGGACTCACGTTCACGTTTGAAAGCAGCGCTGATTCCAGAAACCTCAGCACAAAGTGCGTTCATTAATCTGAGCCAGCATGACGAACAAGGGAATGGCGCCGCTAATGTTCGGGTGTTGCTTTCCACCCATCCTAAGGGTCTACGTAGGGGGCGGGCATATTACGTGAACGGACCCATCTGATTGGCCGCATATCAGAAGGGCTACATTTGATTGGTCAAATAATACTTCCACGTAAAAAACAGAGCTGGTTTACAAAAAGTTGATGTGTGACACGGATGGAAATGTTTGAACCAAACATTTATCGCCGTTTTTGACATGCTTTGCGATGGGCCTATCGCACGTCCTGTTATCGCGATGACGATAATTTTTCGATTTATTGTGCAGCCCTAGTTTCCATCCCAGAGCTCCACAAGCCGGCAGCCCTCGCAGCAGACAGAAGCCGCGATCAGACAAAGATGTGCCGAGCTTCGGGGAGGGGAGAACGGGTGGAAAACAGAGGTCTCCCGAGAGCTCCACAAGCCGATAGTCGGAACCCAGCTCCACCAAGATGTTATATTTCAACCCATTTTCTAAAGTGCAGCATTATGTTAAATGCACTGGGTTTTACCCTATTACATTTAAATTTCATGGTTAAACAGTACATGTTAAAATCTAAGCTCAGCTCGGCAGTGACCTAAAATACATAAATATAATTTTACTTAACGAAAAAAATGAAATGAAGACTCCTTGGATGCTCTATTAGTGCAATTTATACCACAGCAAGTCATTTTGTCCAACAATTGCACAAAAAATATCCAAAAAAGAATACACAAACACAGAGACTCAAAATCCCGGAACAGTTTCCAAGCCAGACCGAGGATCTACTGAGGCCTTTCCATGGAGCTAGCTCTGTGGTCACGTGGGTCTGATGCTCATTAATTATATAGAATTTTAGGCTTTTAATACACTTAAACAGAAGAGTGAGAAAAAATTCACCCCCCTCAGAGTTGTCATGAGTGTACACTAGATAATTTAAACAAAAAACTTGTTGGAACCAGGCTGTTAACATGTTTATTTCTGCTGTGAAATTGGCATTTTTTAACATGGGAGTCAATGAGGATTTGCTCGCTTCTGACACCAGCCCCCAGCGGATGAGGGTGGAACTGCAATTTTTGGTACTTCCGGGTTGGGCCCAATTTTATAGCCGCAATGTGGGGGCTTGGTTTGAAGCCATTATGCAGTGGAACGCTGGCAACAAAGCTCTGCCTGATCGACACTATTAATGATAAATGATCCACACTTGTATAGCGCCTCTCAGAGTAAGGACTCCAAAGCGCTTTACACTACAGTGTATCATTCATCCATTCACACACATTCACACACTGATGGTGATGAGCTACGATGTAGCCACAGCTGCCCTGGGGCGCACTGACAGAGGCGCCCCACTATTTAATTCAGTCATTTGTTATTCTCCCAATCAATTACTAACCAAAACCTCATGCTTTATGCAAAACATTAAATGGTTTTCAGCACCAGTCATTACAGAAAAAATAAAAACCCTAAAAAACTGCACATA